CCAATCTTCCATATACAATTACATTTGCTCCATTTATTTGAAAAGAACTTCTCAATTACCTCATGAATAAAATCCTGGGCAATTTCTATAGTGACATCTTCTCCAGAAATTTGATTGACCAGGTTGCTCTTTTTCTTTGTCATAGCATATGTGTGGTAAAAGCGTGTGTTCTTCTCTCCATCTTCCATCCATTGACTTTTTGACCTTTGTCTCCACCATGTAGCTAATCTAGCCAATGTATTGTTGAGTTCATGCACTTTGATTCTAAGTTTCAATAGATTTTCCTGGTTCATACCGTCTTCCATAGCCTCTATTTCTTGCAAATGCAAAATCTCCCTTTCTAGCTCTTGTTTCTTCAAGGTGAGCTCTTCCAATTTATTCTTGCTCCAATAGTACAAAGTTTTGAGAGATCTCTTGATTTTTCTTTTAAGGATTTCATTAGCTCCTCCATAATTCTTCTTCCTCCAAGAATTAGCAATGACCCCCCTAGCAGCCTCATAAGAACACCACAAATTCTCAAATCTAATTTCTCTTTGCTTGTGCATCTTTGTACTGTAAAATTAAAGTAGTATAGGGCAATGATCCGACGCCACTCTCGGAAGGTGTTTAATTACTGCAGAAGAGATGTCCATAATTGATTTTGAGTTTAACCAAACTCTGTCAAGCCTCTCCCAAATTCTAGCAAGTCCTTCTTTGTTGTTGCACCATGTGAATTTAGGACCAATAAAACCAATATCGTGATAGTCATTATTAGTCATAAACTCCTTCATCTCTTGAGGGTCATGTGAGAACATAAATCTTTTACCTCCCTTCTTGTCATGCTTATTCAATAAGCAATTGAAGTCTCCCCCTACTATACATGGCTCCTCACTATTCATATTATTCTCAATCAATCTCCATAGTTTCCTTCTTTCATACAGGTTTTTGTTTCCATAAACAATGCAAACCTTTACTGAGATGCCTCTTGGAGTTGTCAGCTTACCAATTATACTCAATGACTGTAAAGGAAGTCGTTTTGTATTTCCACAATGTTAAAACACCACCTGAAGTTCCACTAACAGCAACATGGTATAACTCCCAATCATCTCCTACCAATTTCCTAACATCTTCTTTTCCCAATTTTTCCAACTTTGTTTCCATAAGGCCAATGAAGAAAATATCATTTTCTCCTATCAAATTTCTCAAATAGTGGGAATCTTCTTTCTTTTTTGCTCCCCTACAATTTAAAAATATTATGGAAGACATTAAGAGAGTTGTGGGGAAGAGGCCCTAACCTTTTTAACTACACCTTCTCCTTTCCTTGTTCTTTGATTACCCTTGATAGGACCTAGCATTTTCACTTCCTTTGTTAGTTTAACTTTAATGGTAGATTGCTTAGCATTGTTCTTAATTGCTCCCAGATTCCCGTTCAACTATATCACTTTATTTTCATCTCCATCACCCTTGACAAGGTTAAAAATATCTTCTTGCTCTTTTTGAAAAATTAATTATTTCATGCTGTCTGAACTTTCCTTGCTCTTCTGATTCTTTATTCTGATCTAACACAATTTTATTTTCAGATTTATTACTGATCTCAATTGAATCTATCTTGGAATTTTCTGCAATATGACTAGGTGCATTTGAGTTTTCTACATCTTCAATTTCTTCATTAGATGGGATTATAACCTCTATTGGATCAACTTCAGTGCACTGCTCTGTTTCATTAATAATTTCTCCTTCTTCAATCAATGTATTACTTAGAATAACCTTATGAACTTCCTCATTCACATTTGTTTCCTTATCTTTGATTTACAAACTCATTGATTTTGTTGTTTCCTTCATTGTAGTAAAGCTTGGAATATTTTTCACAAATGTTTTCTTAAATGACCTTCCATTAGAAATAAAATTTGGCTTGTTTCTTTTGTAATTCACATGCACCCATGACCCATAACTTTTGTTCTCCTCATTTTCTTGCACCAATTCATGAGATTTCTTGTTGTTTCCTTCAACTTTGTTATTTTTCACCGTGCTTCCCTTTCTGCATTCATTTTTGACATGTCCTATTTTCCCACAGTAAAAAAAAAAAAAATGAAATACTCTCATATTCAAAATTTTGAAAGAATCTTCCCGCAATGCCTTTCACCCAAGCCCCTAATGGTAGTGGTTGATCTAATTTCACATGAACACATGCTCTAGCAAACTCTCTTCTTCCCCATTGGAACATGTTACCATCCAACATTAATGTAACTCCCACCATATAAGCTATCCTTGCTACATTGCTCTCATCCCAACATTGCAAGGGTAATTGAGGCATTCTTATCTAGATAGAAGAGGTAAGTCCTTTCATTGATAAAGGATAAAACTCCAGGGACCATCGATCCATACCAATAATGTGCCCATTCACGAACCATGGGCCTCTAGACAGAACACCTTCTAGAGCATCAGTAGTTTTAAATGAACACAAAAACCATCCCATTCCTAGAGTGGTGAAATGAAAATGGTCATATTGGCCCATTGGCACCAAAATTCCCAGGCTACATTATGAGGTGGTAATTCTTTCCCAAACACCTTACAAACAAGAGAATTACAAAGTAAATTTGCATTTTTAATTTCAGAGTCTTTGATCAGTTTTACTGCCTTTCCATCTTCTGTCAACACATCTTCTCCTTCAATGAAACTTAATTTTATATATGGCTTTTTGATCCACACATATCAGGAACAGTCTTCTTACCATTCCTCACAGTCATTTGATCATCCACCTGATTTACTGTATTTTCTTTAAACAGAGATCAATTCACCGTCAATTGGTCTGAGTGCTTGTCTACATTTAGAATAATATTTTTGTTCATAGAACTCAAGGAATTCGCATTTATCGTACTGTTGCCAGGGATTGCATTTGAATTCCCGAGTTTATGACAAAAATATTCATTCTAGAAGACGAAACTTCATTGTCGAAAACTTTCGCTGGAGACAGTTCAATCATTTTCGTAACACGAGGTGTTTTAATTTCAAAATCCATAGAAACATACTTTCCCTTGCCTTCAACATGAGTGATAATATTATAAATATTAATTGCATTTTTGTTTATTACTAACATACCTTTTGATATTCTTCTTCGTGCTTCATCTGCATCCATTGATAACATTATGTTCGATATATCAGATGAAGTTTTGTTTTGTTCAGAATCAGTGATCCACCTTGAGTTATGGAGTCCACTGACGTCCAGCAGACGTCCGCCGCCATGTATTAGCCTTATGCAGGAGAGATAGATGAAAAACCGAGAACGATGAATTTGAAAATTTCTCTCTCTAGCGGGGGAGCTTCTAAATACGTAAAACACATTTACTATATTTAATGTATAATGGAGATTCGTTTCACGCTTTCTAATGAATAAGTGAAACCATTTGGAGCATTTCTTAAATACGTTAAACAATTTTACGTATTATGTAAATACATGAAACGATAGCCCGTATTTGCTCCTTTTCAATTTTCTTTCGTATTATGCTCCTAAATTTAATTTATTTGTAGGTTTCTTTTAAAACTTTTGCCAACTCAAAATACTAACGTCGAGGACAGTGGGGGAAATCTGGGAAACAAAATAAAATATCTCTTCCCATTTGTCCCCCGTATCGCTTAGGTCCCGAGAATATCGGCTGGTTGGATCCTGAGGGGCTGTTTGGTATCGGATTTACAGCGGGATTTAAGTCGGATTTAAGCTAAATCCAGCCAAATAATTTTTGTGCGCGCGTTAAATCACGGGATTCAGTAAATCCTGAATTTACGGATTTACAGCTTAAATCCGGGATTTAGTAAATCCGAGGGGTAGCCGGATTAGTAAATCCGAGCGAGATTTATCCGAAGAAGCGCGCGAAAGGAGAAAGTTACCTTCACAGCCAGCGAGCTCCCGTTCTTGCTTCCGATCAAAATGTCGTAACTTCCGATCCGGGTTGAAGTCATCGCAGGAGCGAAGTCGAACAGTAAAGAAGGAGCCGAAGAAGCGACGCCTGCAATCTCTACACCTCCTGCAAAAGCAACGGAGCCGAACAGCAACGGCGAAAGAGAAGATTTGAAAGGCAAACCCTTGACGCCTCTAAGTTATTATTGATTAACTTAATTAATATAATTTACTTATTAATACTTAAGTTAAATTTAATTAATAGTGAATTGAAAATTAGTGCATAAAATAAAATTATTAAAATTATTAATAAGTAAATAAAATTAAATTATATAATTTGAACTTAATTGCATAACTTAATAATTAATATTAATAACTAATTATTAACCTAATAAATTAATAATAATCTTAAAATAAGCTATATATTTATATAAATATTAATCAATAGTTTAATAATAATAAACGAATAATTTATATTTAACATGTTTTACTTTTATTATTAGTACTAGAAAGTCTCATCGTTCATGCACCATAATCTGCAAGCCAACGGAAGCCGAAGGCAACGACCGAAAAGAGAAATGAAAGGAAAACCATAGAGCCTCTAAAAGTTATTATGATTTAACTTAATTAATAAAATCTAAATTATTAATAATTAAGTAAATTAATTTAATAATTAATTGTATAATTAGTGCATAAATTAATTATCTAATTTAATTTAATTGTATAATTAGTAATTAAATATTAATATAATTAGATTAATTAATATAATTTAATATATCTATTATAAAATATATAATTAATTGTGTAAATAATAATTAATAAGTAATTTGTACTTAACATATTATTAAATTTATAACACATTATATTTTTTATTTTTAATTATAAATTTATTTTTAAGTTATAATTATATTTTTCACATTTAAATCTCTAACTGCTATAAATCCTGAAATATGTTACCAAACAATTTATCAGAATTTAACATTTGGCATACCAAACAGTTTTCAGGATTTAACACATTTCGGATTTACTAAATCCGGATTTAATGGATTTAATCCCACTAAAGTTAAATCCCACTTGTTGCCAAACAGCCCGTGAGAGCGTCGTCAATCATGGGTCGACCTCGAGGTCCATTGCACGACGTCCTGACCTAATCTAGAGAGAGAAATTGCAATTATGTGATAATCGAGAGGGAGGGAGAGTAGAAAAACTGGTGCGGAATATTTTTAATTTGGAAGCCTCGATATTTGAAGGACGCGTGCTAGCTTGCGAATCATGGACCCTTCCAATCATTTCGCCCTCTTCCGCGCCTCTTCAGCTCATCCGAATCGTAAATCTTAGAGTAATTGGCCATTTTTCTCCCCCTAGATTTTGATTCCGTTGATCGATCATTTTATGACTTGGCAGGTTATCAATTGTTTATTTTTTAGTTTCCTTTTATGACTTTGGATTGAGTCGGTGAAGTCCTCATAGATCGAGGAGAGTTTCTATTTCATTTCCTTATTTATTTACTTTCCTTACCTTCTGTGAACGCGATGATAGTGAATCTTTTGCTTTGCTTCTGCCTTCCCTGACCACGGCAATGGAGTCTCGCGTGGGGAACAAGTTCCGGCTTGGTCGGAAGATCGGGAGTGGATCGTTTGGTGAGATCTATTTAGGTATGTTTCGAGTTGTAAGGGAGTACTGTCGGTTAATTATATTGCTGGGTGTTTTTGCTTTTTTTAGCTTGAGTGAAATGTAATTTTTTTGGTTGATTTCAGGTACGAACGTGCAGACGAATGAAGAGGTCGCAATTAAACTTGTATGTATTACCTGCTATGGCTATGGCTCTTAATCTGCTAACGTCTTTGTCATGGCTTCCGTTTACAAGGAAATTAGAACTTTGGTATGCCAATTTATAGACCTTTAATTGGAGAAGACTCCATCTTGCGGATGGGGTAGGTTGAAGAATTTAGTAGTATATTTTTAATTTGATCTTCCTAAATCTGAAAATTTTGCCATGTGGTATAACGGCGTGTCTATGTTTCGTGATTTCCAAATTCAATAAATTGTTTGAGTAGCGGCCTCAAACACCAACTTTTTGAGTCTTTTTGAAGCTATATAACTTGATAGCTCAAGGACTTTTTAATCTGCAAGAGGAGATGGTCTTCTTTCGCTGTGCTTTTGGGGCAGTTTAGCATGGTGTCTCTCATAATGACTTACTCATTTATGTTTTAAGGCTATTTTTTTTTCCCAACTTGACGTCTCTAAATGATTGAATGTTAGAATATTTAATTCTTACCTTAGCACTTCCTCATAAGTTGCTGGGCAAAGTTTTTGTTGCTTGATTTGATGACAAGTGTTTTCCTTTCTTATGGTCCTTCATGACACTGTTGTTGGAGGAGGGAGCTTTAGGGTTGATAGGAGAATCACTTATTGGGCCATGATTGTAGATTTGATTTTAGGCCCAAGGCTCTCCTCTTTCGCTGAAAGTGTTGAAAGTGCTAAGGCCTATTTGGGACTAACCTCAATAACAACAAGAGCATTAGGAGCTTCAACGAATCAACATATTACCTCATGGGGAATGACCTCATAGGGAATGATGATGTTGGCCTCCTCCCATTAGTTAGTTGGTGGGCCCAATTGATTGACATAGCCACTTCATTATTCTTGGTGGTAGGTACAAACTTTACCACTTTTGAGATACTACCAAATGAAGGTGGCTCCAGCAGCACTAGTTTTGATGATGGCCTTTGTGAATTGCGAAATTGAACCTTCCCAAGCTTCATAGTCATGATATTGTGTGCGGATACCATTGCTTTATACCTCTTTAGTACATGCGAAGTGACCAATAAAGGATTGGATTAGTTTTATTTGGAACACAAATCCTAGAATTTTTTGGTAAAGAGACAATCTATTTGGTAATAAATTTAATGTCATATGTTGATAGAGTTTATGCTATGATGTCCTGGACTCGATGTCACATGATTGTACTTGTCAAGTGAATGGAATAACATGGATGGAATAACATAAATAGCACCACTACTATTAACTTAACATTCGCTATAAAAAGTTGCACTAGGCACAAACAATTTGAGCTTCAAAATGATTGATAGAGATAAACAAAGAGTCTTCCATAGTAGAGTTGCTAGTAATTTGATCACTCCGGAAAAATAAACCCCCTTCGTGAATGTTTTTAAAATTCTTATTAGATCAAAGATTAGCAGGATGTTCTTATATTGATCAGATTGAGTATCAATTGTTCTTCAAATTTTTTATCTCTATATTTGTAATTGTTGGCATTGTTGAGGGAGAGAAAACTGAGTACATGTATATGTGCACAAGGAAATCATAACATTTGAGGCCTTGAGTGTTTAGGTTGTTGAACATGTGGTAATCATGCTCAGGAGAGGGTATAGCATTATTTCTATTGGAGTGGGAGACAAAACATGAAAGGAGACAGGTTACATGAGCTTTGCTAGGAGGTTTTGCAAATGCAGGTTAAGGGGAGGAGGGGGAGAACTGATGATGGAAATGATAGAAATGCAAGAGAGTGAGGTTTGTTAAGAGCACTATTGGGTATTTGCAAGCTAGAGAGTAGGATGAGAAGTGGAGAGCAAGAGAAAAAATTGATGGCTAATCGTGTGCGGGCTAGGAGTATTGTAGATTTGCGAGGGAGAGCTGAACTGAAGAAACAACAAACGGGAGAGGGAGATAATTAATTATCAAGCAGTGCATCATTGCATGTGGGCTGAGATGGTAGCATAACCATGATGGGGAAAGAGCAGCGGAAGCATGAAAGAGGAAGGAAGCTAGCTAGGGCTTGGAATGAAGCAAAGAACACGAGAGATTAGATGGAGGGAAGATAGTGCAAACTCGTTAGAGAGAAGAAAGAGTGAACGAGGTTTTCTAGAAGTTTGGAGATCATGCGAGTTAGGAAATTAGAGGGATGCATAGTAGTCATACAAGATGTGGAGATGTGTGGGATGTCATTGCTTGTATTGAACCCAAGTATGTTATTAAATTTGTTTCTGTAATAAACATTGAGGGGGGAAGAGATGGCAGAAATGAAAGGACTAAAAGTAAATATCTTTCCTAAAAAAGACTAATAGGCATTGCCTAAGAAAGATAGAATTTCCTAAAAAAGACTAATAGGCATTGCCTAAGAAAGATAGAAGTGCAATAAATTAAATTCAACTCAAAGATCTCAGATGAATTCCTCTTAAATTAAGTAATTATTGTAACTATCTTTTCACTTGCTTAATACAGTCTGTGGTCCATCTCCACCAATATAAAAGGTATCATGGTATATGTTTAAGGATTGCATTATATTTTTTTTTTTGTTGGCTTGAAGAAGATTTCTTCAACGAAGTCTAGAAACCTAGTGTACACTCATTTGTCCCTTGGGATGTTGCCTGGGTGCTATAATTTTGTTTATTTTGTGTAGCTTGCATAAATAACTTATATTAGAAGTTGTTGGTTTCCTGTCTTTGTTCTTACATTTAAATATTTTTTATTATCCTTGCTTTTCGTAATTATTTGAATTATTGGATTGCTTTTATAGGCTTTCGACATAATGCTCATTTGTTATATGATAATAATGTTTGTTATTATGCTTATTCATTTTGTCTTGTCACTATGATACCAACACTTCTCCTCAAAGAGGTGTGCAATCTCCAACACATATCCGACACGACACGCGTTCGACATGCCCACCGACACATGTCAGAAATGCCGAAAATGTGTCTGATTAAAAAATATTAAATACAAATTGGGCACAAATGCCCAACACCTGTGTCCTAAATACTTTATGAATTTTTTAAAATATAATTTCTTGTATTTTAAAATTTTATTTTTTAAAACTATAAAAACTAAATTTCTTATTTTTTATTCTCATTACCAAATCAATCGTTCGCATTCAATACCCCATTTATTGAATATTCTCATTTTCATTTTTTCTTGGCGGGTTGCAACTTTGGTTTCTCAACAATGACGGATGTCATCTCAACATCGACATCTGACGTTATTATAACATCGACATTTCTAAACCATTTCAGCATCAAAGTTTGACACTATCTTGACATATCTATACCTACAACTTGACAGCTCATCTTTATCCGACGTCATTTTAGCATTGACGACCAACCCCCTCTCAACATTGACGATAAACACCCTCTTGCCATCAATTCCCCTGATACTTTATGTATAACATCAACGCCCGACTCTCAACAGCATTGTCATCTCCTCTATCGATGTCTGATACACGGCATCGACGCCAACTCTCAACATCGTAATATTAATTATTTTAAGCTCAAATTCTAGTTAAATGACTTGTTATTTCTAAATTATTTTTAATATCATATTTATTCAATTTTTATACATTATTTTTAGAATATAAAAATTATAATACCGTGTCCAACACTTGTATGTGTCCCAGCTTTTCAATAATTGACGTGTCCCGTGTACGTGTCGTGTCATATGTGTGTTGCCGTGTCTGTGTTTGTGCATCATAGTCTTGTCATATTACCTTTGGTGCCATTATTTCCTATATTTATTAAAGTAGCATATTTTATTTATTATTTTGTATTATTAATGGTGACTATATGGCTTTATCAGGAAAATGTTAAGACAAAACATCCTCAATTGCTGTACGAATCAAAGCTGTACAGGATCCTTCAAGGAGGAAGTACTTGAATTTATTTTTAAACAATTTTTTGCCTGCACGATGTACAAAATCATTTTAGCATCTTTGAAGATTTCTCATCTTTCTTTCTTATCTTGCAGCTGGGATTCCCAATGTGAGATGGTTTGGTGTTGAAGGAGACTACAATGTGCTAGTGATGGATTTACTAGGACCAAGTCTTGAAGATCTTTTCAACTTCTGCAGCAGGAAGTTGTCCTTAAAAACTGTTCTGATGCTTGCAGATCAGATGGTATTATTTTGACTAGCTTAATTTGAACTGCTTATTGTAATCTGTTCATGTTGTTTGACCACTTATTTTTTGTTTTTCCAGATCAACAGGGTGGAGTTTGTTCATTCTAAATCTTTTTTACATCGAGACATTAAACCTGATAATTTTCTTATGGGCCTGGGCAGGAGAGCTAACCAGGTTCGTCTTTTCAAAAAAGTGAATATCTCAGAATTTAATCCACTATATGATTAAGTTATTACTAGTAATTATTCGTATAGGTTTATATCATTGATTTTGGTCTTGCAAAAAAGTATAGGGACACTTCAACCCACCAACATATTCCATACAGGTAAATGATGTTTAGAAGATCAGAATATGAATTATTTTCCTTTTTCTATTTCTAGTTGTTTTGTTAATTTCACTGATTGCATAAATTTTGTCCATGAATATTATTTTCCATTACTTGTTTATAATATCTGACTCTTAAGAAAATGATTTCAAGGATTAGTAAACTTTTTTTTTTTTACCTTTCTTTAATTTTCAAATATATATGCTTACCACAAATAGGGGAAAAACTATCAATATTTCTTATTCATAATTGATCCTAATACCACTGTTGATCTCACGCATTCACAACCCCCATCAGCCATAATCCAGCTATAGTTCAGCCCCCATGTCCATTTGTCTTTGGTTTAATATGAATTTGAAGGCCTCAAGTCCATTGTATCTTTGATCTTATCGGGAAGAGAAATTTCCCTCTGCATTAGTTATATCTTTGATCCAACTAGACTCCTGCATTTGCATTCGTTGTTCTTTGATATAGCTGGAATTTGATGACCTCTGTGTCTATTAATCTTTTTTATTAGAAATTGAAGATCTCCTTGTCGGTTAAATATTTGATTTGGCCAGTCTTTTTTCTGCATTCATTAATTTTTGATATGGGCTTAGGAAGCTGAATGCTCTCCACAAGCCACTATACTTGACCAAAATTAGTACTACTTTTGTTATTGCTCGGTTCTGGTAACATTGCCAACATTTATGACCTCAGATTAGAGGTAGGAAGGGTGCTGCGTCAATATTGAAACTATGGAAGAGAAAAGAAAATAGTCAGTAGTGTTTCATCTACTAATCTATAACCTATGTGTAAACAAAATAATAATGATAAAATGAATTATTCACATTAATCTCAAAGCTTCTCCCCAAAGGATAAATAAAAACCATTAGGCTAATTTTTATATTTGAGTCATCATTTCAATATGCTATGTCGAAAGCTAGAATGTAAATCCACAATCTAAGCAACTCATAAATGCACTCGTCGCCAAGCTTCAAATTAAGTTAATTTCAAAATATTAAACAAAGTCAAGAATCTAAATGTCATATAATGGGCATTCCAATAGATGTAATCCTTGTTCCCTTCAATTGAGCCAACACAAAGCCATCGTGCTCATAAACCTAAACCTAAACCTCGATCATCTTAATAATAAAATAAGGTCGTAAGAGCCATCATTGAGCTTTCCTCTCCCTTGAGGCTATAAGCCCTTTTTATGGACCTTTCAATGGATTTAAGCCATTATCCTAACTAAATTCAGGTCATCCGATGATTGTAAGCCCTAACCCTACCCTATACTTACATCAACCATCATGTTAAAAAACCCATTAATTAATTAGAATCAAAATCGATCAAAGCTCATGTACATTCATTTTGGTTTGCTTGGGATTCTTGAGAGGAGGCAACTCATGGTTGTTGCTTAGTTTCCATAGACATTATAATTTTATTCCCTTTGATGTTGTTAGATTGGGTTCGTTGGTGTACCTGGGATGATAGAACTATGAAACCTTGATATATGCTCCACCAACACTCCAACCACCCCCCATCAATTCAACTGAAACCTAAACATTAAATTTGTGCTAACAATTGAGCTTAAGCAATCATCTTTAATTTTGAGTTCTCTTCTCTGAGTGAGAGGAATAATTAACTATGGAGAGTTGCACATATAAGAAGTCCCAATCATAGATTTAAATAAGTTTTTATCTAAATATCATAGGAGATATGGTTAAATTAAATCTAATCAAACTCACAAAAAACGAACTCCTGGGTTCAAATAGGTGTTTATGCTTTCTGAACAATCAATAATAAAATTATTAATTACTATTTATATATAATTGAATGTAATAAATTTGTTGGTTCACACTTGCAATTAAAGGTAGCATATCAAAGAAGATTATAAGTGGTGATAGAAGAAATTATATATTGTCTAAAATTGGATAAAAGTATTTCACATTCAAGTAGTTATTATTTGAGAAAAAAGTAATGGTTGTAATCAACGTTTTAAAAGGCAAAATCGGGAATCAAGGCGTTTTGGCTAAGCGAGGCGAGGCGTAAGCCTCGAGGCGGATCGAGGCGTAAGCCTAAAAAATTATAAAAATAAAGCAATTTAAAATTATGAATAATGACAAAAATGTCAAAAAATAACAAAATATTACAACAATTGTGAATTTGATTGATTTGTCAAGGATACATTATTTATTTACGGACAAGAAGATTTAAAATAACTCACTTAAAATAAAACATCCTTTAGGATCAAGACCCAATGCAGGCTCATCATCACTTTGATTTTCTTCAGAAGAATCTTCATAATTAATGTCAAAGTCATCCTCAAACTCTTCTTCTTCTATAATATTTTTTCCTTTATCCCCATAATCAGTTAATATTTCGTTAGCTCTAGAATGAAACAATAATAACATTAAAAAATAATTTCACTATATTTAAGAAATACCTTTGATTTTTTTTGAAGCTTCAATCTCACTTTGTTTTTTTTCTTTTATATACATGAGTAGTTGCTTCACTGTCTTCATTGACTTGAGTTTTTCCTTCTACTTCAACTTCAGAAACATCAACATTCTTAGGAGTAACCCATTCATCATCAGATTGTAAATCATCAACAAGTAAAGGGTCAATTTCATTATCAATGCTTCCTTACTTCTGTAATTTGAGATGTCTATCTTTCAGTTTTTTTTACCTGTTTTCTTCTTGTTTTTTTGCCCATGAACTTTTATCCTATTCTTTAGAAGCAAACATAGCTTCTAAAGGTTGCCTTAACTCCTTGAATCTCTGCAATGTTAAATATTGCAGTAGCCAAATCTTCGTTAATAACAGGTACTAATAATTTCCTTGTAAGTGAATTTTCTCATCAAATTGAGTGCCCAAGAATGATTGTATATGAACTTACTAACGAATTTGGCCTTCAATAAGGCTGATTTATGCTGAGGCAACTGTCCCAACCTCTCAAGCATTAAATCAATGCAATGTGCAGCACAAGGAGTTCAGTAAGAGTGAGGCCTCTTCTCCATTAACATTCTCTCTGCAGCTTTATATGCACTTGCATTATCAGTAACAACTTGTACTACTAAAGCATAACCCACTTCCTCAACAACTTCATCCAACATTTCAAACAATAACTGTGCATCATTTACAAAACTTGAAGCATCCACTGATTTTAGAAAAACTGTTCCATATGGATTGTTGACCAAGAAATTAATAATACTTCTATGTCGAATATCTGACCAACCATCTGACATTATTGTGACTCCTGTCTCAATTCATGTCTCAATTCAAGTCTTCTTAACATCATCCACCATTTTTGAAGTTTTGACCTCCTCATTCAGCATCCAAGTCCTCAGTTCATACATGCTGGGAAGTTGTAGTCCTCTTCCATAGCTTCCAACAGATCGTAACATATTAATCCATGAAGGACTCCTAACAACATTAAATGGAATCCCATTTTCATAGATGAATCTGGCGATATCCAAACCAACCCTATTCCTGAGTTCTTTTGTAGCAGCAGAAGGCTGAAGATCCTGAGTGTTTATGTTATCCTCATCATCAATATTTATCATAAATCTATCCATAGGACCTCGAGTGCCTCGGTTAGAAGAAATTAGATGGCTTCCACTACTGGAACCTTCATGCGGTGATCCATAATAAGAAGTGTTTCCTATAATATCTTTCATATTTCTTTGTATAACCTCCTTTGTGGTGGCAAACTTCTTTAAATAATCTGTACATTCCTTTTTCACCTCATCAGGTACTTTTGCACATGGTCCCACATTGACATGAGTACAGGCTAGATGATCCTTCAATCTCTTAATGCCACCAGTTATGCGTTTCTCACAGAAATTACATTTAATGTAAACATATCCCTTCGTTGCACCTTCGTCAGACACTTCAACTTGAGTTCCATATTTCCATGCTGGATCTTTCCTTCTTGTACCACTAGTCATGCTAATAATATGATAGATTTTAACAATTATTTATACTACCAATAATAAAACCCCCGCAGAAATTTTATTATAAGAGTAATTTTGAAATTATGCTTGTTGAATATGCTCAGTACCGAGCATGTACCGAGCATGTACTGCATGGTACCGAGCATGTACCGCTCAATACCGAGCATGTACTGCTCAATACCGAGCATATACTGCTCGGTAACGAGCGTGTACCTAGTGGTACCGAGCATGTACCGCTCAATACCGAGCATATACTTGCTCGGTACCGAGCGGTGCTGGCTCGGTACCGAGCATGTACCTAGCAGTACCGAGCATGTACTGAGCAGTACCGAGCATGTACTGAGCGGCACTGAGCATGTACCTGCTCGGTACCGAGCATGTACTGAGCGGACGAATGAAATAAAGACGAATTAGGAGTTATTCAAGCTTTCGTTACTGCACCTCAAAGTCAAGGCCACAACACCGCTCACCTGCTCTTCCGACCTAACCGAGGCCTGAACGTTTCCTGCACTCACAAGTTCGGCTTCGTTTCCTGCTTTCAAAATCGTTATTACTTTTAGATTCGTTTCCTGCGTCGTCTCCTTCTAACTTTGTCTCCTGCACTCACGGTTTCGTCTCTTTCCCTCACGGCTTCGCCTCTAGTTCGCCTTTCAATTCTCACAGGAAGCCCTAATCCTATACGCGAATACACAAACACGAATCGGCTGCGTCGTATTTACATATATACCGAAGAAAAAATTTCGAGGCGGTGCCTCATACTGCCTCGAGGCGTTACGCTCTAATGCGTACGCCTTGTGCGAAAAAATCGTAGGCTTCGCTGGATGGTTCGAGGCGTAAGCCCTGATACGCATGACTTCCGCCTCGACTTGAGGCGCGACTCAATGCGGACGCCTCGTCCGCTTTTTTAATGGTTGGTTGCAATTATAATGAAATTATGGATTTATTCTTTAAAGTATAGATCAAAATATAAATTTATGGTTGACTTAAGAATGCAGGAGCTCGTCCTCAAAGTATGAGGTTAGGATCAATTTGGGAATATAGGCTTTGCTGGAAGAGTGGAAA